TCTAGCGTGTGTGTGAGCAGAGCATGTGTGTGCAAATACGAACCCTGCTTCCGAGTGAATTCCAACCCCCATTCAATTTGAATTCAAAGTGACGTTGATGGCAATCACTCGGAAATGAAATGTGAAACCTTCATGTTTACTTTCTTTCATGTATTCAACAGTCTATACTTATGATATGCGAACATTGTTAACACTAAAAAGCAAATAAAAATATCGGTGGTACAATAGAAATATTCTAGATTTTTAAAACAAAAACCTTGATCAAGTTGAATTATTGTAAATGTAAATCACGCGCAGACAGTAAAGTTAGTCAATTAGCTTTTTAGCGTTCTTCTTCACATCATGCATGAGCTGCTCTGCTGCCGATCTGAAAATAGAAACATGAATCTTAACCCCTTGTTGGCAAAATTTAAAATTAATTCGTAAAAAATAATAGTTTAAAAAACTAAAACCTCTTTATTATAATTGCCATTCATACTGTCATCAGGTATGTAACTTGATAATAGAAATCGCTGCATTTTTAGGCGCATCAATATTACATAGTTACATCCCGAGCTAATAAAAGGAAGGTAAAAAATGATTGGGATTTTATTAAATCTATGACATGCCTAGGAAATACCTGCATGCATGCGTAATTAAGTCATAACCATTTTAAATCTTCAAGCCCACCAAGTTACAGGCATTGTAAAAGCGATTTTATTATTTCTTAAAATTTATGCAAACTCAATGAAATACACATTTTATTATTGAATTCTCATCTATTTCTATATTCCTATTTTATATCTCTTACATCCTTGATATTGCACGTAGTATGTATATTGAGAATTTGTAGTATGTACGTTTTAATTTTCTATCGGCAGAAAAAATTGTGCTTTAAATTCGATTTTTAGACGCTTAATTTTTGCTTAATTTTTCATCGCTGAATGAACTTCATTTGCATACGGGATAAAACGAAATATGTTGTAATATATTACATTATTGTCGTTTAATTAACACTTGCAAAAGAGGGGAAAATTATAATTTAAACTTTTTAATATTTTCGCTATAAATAGCCTTCATTTGCCTTTATCTATGAGCGTATATATTATATACAACAGTATTTTCTGAGAATTAAAACTCTAATGACGTGACCATAGTTTATTAAAATACTTATTAATTATATTATTCTATACATTTGTGCTTTACTTTTTTCGGTGTTCGTCGGCAAATTCTTTTATCTTCTCGACCAATTTTCCGGGTTCATCCACACGAGGAACCTGGAAATAGTTAATTTCTCAATAAATTGTTAAAAGTAAATTTAATTGTGTTACCTCATAATTTTGACTTATGTATATTCCGGTATATATACCAGCACCGAACGTAAGCTGAAATTAAAAATATAAATTAGTATGATAACCCGTGCTCAATTAATGGCGTTATCGTTTCTACAAAAAATGTTGCCTTCTCATTGCCTTCTTCTTAGTATTTGTGCGTAGACAAAGAGAAGGAACCTTTTTTGGCAAAAACGAAAACTCCATAAGGTTTAATAAAAGCTGATAAAAATTTTAAACATGCGCTAATATAGATATACTACACATGTTTACATGTACATACATATTTAAAACTTTCAAATCTGAAATAAGTCTCCTTCGAGAATTCCGAATATCTGAGACTCCAGAAAGTATCGCGATAAAGGTATAAATGTGTACATATCTGTGTTCATATGGAATAGTAGCTTGTCGTAGCATACGATTGCGAATGACTCACTGGCGCACAGCGGTTGAAGAACTTTTGACAAATAAACGTGCAGGAAATAGTTCCGATAGTAGCAAGTCAATAGTCTTATTAATAGGGAATTTACATGATTCAACTTTCACAGGCGATTAGTTAAATCAAAAGTTGAACGAAAGTAGGCAGCCGACCAACTTCATTGAAAGCGATTAGTTGAAAGGCCGTTTACACCAGGCGTACCACCACCATCGTACATTAATTTGGCAGGATGAACACAAATATTAAGTTCTCCAAAATTACATATGTACCTGTAATAAAAATTTGGTCCTTCCTACGGGTGTGTGCATAGACTGCAGCGAAGGCTTGGATTTTTATAGATCCTTACCCTATTGGTCAAGAGCATTTGATGACAAAGGACATATCTTCATTTGGCCAGTTATATAACAACTAAAATTCACTAATAATTACAAGTCACCACGTATACTGCTTTAATTATGTATATGTATACTATAAGCCAATTTAGGGACTTAACAAAGAGTCGCAGAGAATGTCCAAACAGTCACACAAGCACAAAAATTGCTGTTGTTTTTGTCAATTATGCATTATCGTTGCCCTCATATTTATTTGCAACAAAAGACAAATACCTAATTCGCAATGAATATTATTAAATAAAAACTTACCAAAAATTTCAACATGTCCGAAAAATCTAATGCCACTTTGAAGAGTTTCTCAAAAACTGAGCACAAAACGAAACGAAAGCAAAAACAAGTTGCTTTGTATTAGGAGCCCGACAAGAAATCAGCTGGCGTATACAAACAATGAATGGGCGAATATGTGCAAGAGGAATGAGACGATTGGGGTGAATTGAAAGTGCAATGGGTTTTATATTTTGTTTTTATCCGGTTAGGCCTAGTAGATTAGATAACCACTAGTTATATTTTCTGAAACACCTTTTTATCACAATTTAAACGAGATAACGATTTTATATCGGTTATTGCGGATCCCAAGCAGTTTCTTTTTTATATAATACCATATACTTTGATATAGATAAATTCGTTAATAGAGACCAACGAGAAACAACTATTATCAAAATGAATCGAGTTACTAAAATAGCTTTCCCAAGCTATTTTTATTTATTATTTGTCACATGGTCAGCATTTATTGACGTGATCCAAGTATCGCGATATTTATTGACGGTGTAGCATGCAGTATTGATGGATCGTGATCTGACGAAATGTATGGATCGCGTTTTGAAAGTGCTTCAATATTTATTGACGGTAATGCGATTTAAAATTTTTTAGAAATTTTTCGATATGGATCCCTCAATACCAAAGAACGTGAATAACATGAAGGAACAACTCGTTATAATTGTGGCGAAAGGGCGCAACAGGGGCGTGCATTCTCTTTTCATCCAATCAAAAAACGCATTACCGAGATTTTCCAGCACGTGAAGACGGCCGGTTAGGGCACTTTCGCTACAATTACAACGAGTTGTCCCATGATTCAATAATACAAGGTTCGATAAACTGACAGTTGTCTCTCTCGCACCGCTCCCTTAGCAGTGGCACCGTGTTGCTTCTTTGCAAATTTACATGGAAACAGTGTAGCTTTGGTGTGAAATAAAAGTATAAGCTTTTGTGCAATGTTTACTTGTATATGAATATGAAACATATTTAACTGATGAAAACATAAGCCTTGGATGTTTACATCGATCTCATAGTAGTCTTATTTTAATTTTGAGTCATTTTACAGTTTTTATACAGCTAAATAGCATATAAATTACGTAAATCACGTAGATATATCAATATTACGTTCAACATTTCGTTTAAAATGCCAGACTTCCTGCAAATACATTAGAATTTACAAAAGGAATTTCACTACTAATTGCCTACTTTGCGTACTTTTCTACTACCATTTTCGCAACAAAGGATTGCATTCTTGCCCTTTCTCTGTCCTTCTTAAATGCAACCTTTTGTAAGGGAGTGTCAAACCGCAGCTGTCAATAATTATCTAACCTTGTATTATTGAATCATGGAGTTGTCCCTTGTCCGTTCAACAATTACGCGTTTTTTTTTGTTCTCTTCGTTGTTTACTTCTTACAACAAAGATGGCGTCGAGATTTCAACAGCTAGAAAATAACTTTTTTCTTTCTTTCCTTAAGGCGTGATCTTGTGTCTTTCGATCATGCTGTTATTCTCTAATTACCGGATCTGGTCCGGATTGTTAGGGAAAGAACCTGTGGTAGATGCTCAAAAAAGTGGCAGACCTAGCACAATGTGGGAGGAGTCCGATCACCGGTTCTATGCCATCTTGTTTCGTTAGAAAAAGAGCGAAAAGTAAACAAAGCAAAGAAAACAACGAAAACCCAAATTAGCCAAAATTATTGTCAGCCACTTTAAGCACACAATGTAGGTAAAATTAACAATTAAAACGCTTTACAATGTGTTGTTATGTTGAATTAACTCTTCTTTAGGGGTCTATTCTGCACGTTACCGAAGATTTTGTGACCGGAAAAATGTAATACCAAAAAATGTTACCACTTCTTGTCACCGCGTTTTTAGGTACGTTGGTAATGCAGTGAAAATATTCAGCAATTCAGCTATGAAGATTTGTGGAAATTCCTGTATTGCATCAATATTTTGTTACCAGCTTATGAGATGGTAACCAAATTCACCGGTTACAAGAGAGCACAGAGTGCGAAAAAGGTTTATGCCTGGAGTATAATGTAACAAACGGAACGGAGCGAACTGCCACTTAATTATCTATTGTATGGGCAATGAATTCGAACGATTATAATGCACTTGAACGTAACGTAAAACGGAAGCATCTAAAATCAATAGATCCTTACGAATTGGCCGCTATTTATTACGATTCGCCCCGTGCATTATAACCAAGGTATTAGGTTGACAGACACTTTAATTACCGGTTACAAAATTTATGTTACCAGTGCAAATCGACCTGTTAGTTAAATAAAAGTGTAATATAGTGGTGCTTATGATGTAAACAAACGCTCAGCTGACGAATCTGCTTTCCCAAACTTTTTTCCCAAAACCAATTACGAATAAAACGTCGCGTTCTCACGTGATCTTGTATTTTTGGTTTATGAAAAAACACATCATTTTGACAAAAGGTGCAAATTCGCCGTGAAATCAGTGGCTCCGGTAACACCCAAGGCGAATTTATACAAGGTGGCAAGGCGAATTTATACAAGGTGGTGTTGATGGCGAATTTAGATTTTCGCCGAGGTACGTCTTAATGTCAAAATGATGTGTTTGTTGTAAAATGAATTCGCCTTGTTTACAACAAACACATCATTTTGACATTCAGTAGTACCGCGGCGAAAATTTAATTCGCCATCAACACCACCTTGTATAAATTCGCCTTGGGTAACACCACTTTGGTTAGATTCGCCTTGGCTACCACCTTATATGAATACGCCTTGAGTCAGGGGTTGTACCCGTTACTAAGTAACGAATACATACGGTTTGCTACAGCTCTACCCCACACAAATTTCAAGTTTATTCAATACAAATCTATGCGAAATTAATCAGCAAACAGACTTTGTGAATAAACGCCAAAAAAGTTTAAACCTGGTAAAAAATTGGAAAAGTACAAATTGTTTGCCATAAGTGGAAAAACAACAACCGGCATAACTTGGTGACCGACCTCGTTTAGTTTCTTTTCAACTACTTATTCGCAGTACACAAAAGACAACGAATGCCGAAAAAATTGTGGAATCAGTAAACAGAAACCTACCGCAAAAAGAGGCAGTGCAGCTGTGGAAATTAA